TCAATTTAAATTAAATACTTATATTAACACAGAAAAAAGGGGGAACAAGATCGTATTTTTAAAATTTGTATTCGCCGCGCCTATTGACTGAATTGTTGCATATCCACATTGTTCAAAAGTAACGACCAATCAGAGAACGTTTAGAACATAACATTTTTAAATCAAAAACGTAAAATTATTACAAATATTTCTTAATCAATTTTAAAAAATAAATTTTTCTGTTAGTTTCTTAATAAAAATCAATACTTTCGAATGAAATTTGGCAACACAGATTTGCAAAATTGGAAGTTGAAGGTTAACAAGCAAAAACAGTTTTTTTTAAATACCTAACTTATTAAACTTTTTAACCAGTGACTAATTAATCAAAATGTACCCAAAAGAAAACGATCCATACAGAGATACTCCTATAAGGTACTTAGGTATGAAGAAAATTCAACAAAATTATCTAGTTCAAGATTATAATATTATATTCCATTATAGGTTATGCCAATGAAGTTGGAGAAGCCTTTCGTGGTTTTATTGGAAGTAGATTAGTTCATTACAGTTATGCAGTCGCTAGTTTGTACATGTTAGCTGATACGGTGGATAAGTTGACAAAAACTTACGAGGTATGTTCAGTTTTTATACCAATAACATTTTTTTGATGTTTTGTTTTCATCAGCAAACGCACAAAGTGCATAAGACTTTATTTACTGCTACCGACGTATTTTTCTGGCAGTTTTTGGCTTCTATATCTATTCCTGGTTATACTATAAACAGGATATGCAAAGGGACAAATTATTTATTGACACGTACAAAAATTAGTGTGGCAATGAGAAACACATTGACAACTTCTGTTGCTTTATTATGTATTCCTATAATAATAAAACCAATCGATAGATTTGTTGATACGGTTCTAGATAATACTCTAAGAAAAATTGCACCTTAATTGAGTAGGGTTTGCATACATTAATTGCTAAATGAAATTGCCAAACATTCTCAGGCTCTTTATAGCAAAATTTAGACTAATATTTGCAATTTTTACTAGTATGTAACAAATAAATGCAAATATAATAATTGTTACATAGTGAGTTGTAAAATTAATCAAATTATATCTCATTATATGTATTTGTCTTTCTTTTTTGTTCTTCCTGTATCGTTTTAAAGGGCAATGACAACAAAAATCATAAACTTCACTTAATATATTAATATAAAATACATTTAACAAAAGAGAAAAGAAATAAATAAGTAGACTACATGTAGGAAAATATTATAAACGGAATTGTTCTGTATCATAAGTAGTTTACATTAAATCAGAATAATTATAACCACCAATAAAAAACTTCAATCGTAAACTGGTTTGGACTGTAATGATTTTTCTATTTCACTAACAGAGCATTCCAGCTGCATAAACAAAACTTTAATTGTCGATATAATATCATTGTACTGCTGCATAGATTTCAAAATATTGTGGGTTACTTCCTGAGACTCCTTGTAAATATCTGCATTTGAAATGGTTGCAAGCTCCAGCCTGTCTTCTAGCTTATCAATGTCAACCAACTCTGCAAAAGGGTTTACTTTTTGAAACTGAACGACAAGTTCAGCAGTTTTCTTTAATTCTGGATATAATTCAAGAATGTACTGCTTCTTCTGTTCGGTATCGAGTAGATTTTCACTGTAGTGTGGGTCAAGATAATCATTTATTTCAGGCATCCGTTGCAATATAGAAGTGACCACTTCACGACAACTTAATGCGGTTGCTATCATCGTATGCGTCTGTATAAGCAAATCAGTGACCAAATGCTTCTTTCTCACATCTTCTTCAATGTCTTTTGGTAAAATACTTAATTCCAACTGGGCGATTCGCTTCTCAAGCAGGTCGATCGTATCCATCTTAAACTAATACTGAAAATTACGAATATATATATTTCCTAGGTAGGATAAATAAATAATAATTTACCTGCCAATACAACTTTTTTTAATATTATTAAAAACTAGACTATTGCTGTGCCGTCATTTCTTTACGTTATTTATTACTCACATCTTAAAATAACTGATATTTACTCGTTGAAATATTGTTGACGTTATTGGGGAACGTATTTATCGGGTCATATACTACCGGAGGTAACTTGCTTTGCATTAAATATGACCAAAGATATGCTAACAATAAGATAAAACACAAATTAAATTAAAGATAAGTGAGTTGTATTTGTTTTCATCTTTATAATTTTGTTTAATTTTTGTGAGGTTAATTTTTTTTGTAAGATTTGTTTTTTGTTTAATTAAACACATGTTAACGCTTTGCTAAATGTTTTGAAATTTTTCACTAATGACCAACAATAGCGTGCTAAATAAACGTGAGTAAAAGAACAACTATTATATGTACACTAAGCGAGCTGTCTCTTCATGGGTTTGTTTTGTATGATTTATACACACACCAAATTACCTCCAGTAGTATATGCTCCATGATAAATACCCGTGATTTAAAACGTTACTTTTATATGTTATTTTCTACTCCAATTTGTTTTTAGTTACAGATTTTAACCAATCTATGATTTTAATCATAACGTAAATAACAGTATTAACAATAATTATGATATAATCTATGGTTGTGATTATAATAATATTTTGATTTAGAATATTTTGACAAGTTACAAAATAAAGAATAGTAGAATCGTGTAATGAATACATTTTTAAAGTTTTAAAATGAAAATAAACGAGAAAAACTTATCGGCGTTCGCGACAGCACCCACCCCAATAGATAAAGAGGGATACTTGAGTAAACGAGGTGAAGTGAACAAAAATTTCCAACGCCGCTATTTTGTGCTTAAAGGTAATCTACTGTTTTATTTTGAAAAAAAAGGGGACAGAGAACCAATTGGTGTTATTATTTTGGAAGGATGTACAATAGGTAAGTGAGCTCTTATGTTCTTAATTATTTATTAAACAGTGATATAATTATTTTTAGAGCTAGCTGAAGATGATGAGCAGTTCAGCTTTAAAATCGAATTTCATGGAACTAACAACAGGAGCTACATCTTGGCAGCTGAATCTCAAGAAGCCATGGAGCAATGGATGAAAGCACTGGCCTGTGCAAGTTACGATTACATGAAACTAATGGTAGCAGAACTGCAAAGACAACTGGATGATATTGAAGGTATACATAATGAGTAAATATTTTAGCAGTTACAAACAAATGTTGAAAATCAAATTTTACTTCTATTCCTTCCTGTTGATATACATGTTTAATAACAAACTGAATCAAATTTCATATTGCATCAAAATATCATAAGGTTGGAAAAAAATTTTGGAGTGTCATATTAGAAATGAGCATACATATATTATTTTTGTATTTGTACATACTTAAACAATTATCATGTTGTTATCTAAGTAATACAATCATGTGTTAAGATAAAAAGTAAGCTTTATAAACAAACTGCTTGACTAATATCCTATTTACTTTTCGTTATTGTCTTGGTTTAACCTCACGACTTATGCTTAGTTCGCTTTTACGTGTTTTCTGAGTAGTTTGTAGTACTCTGGATTTAAATTTTAGGAAATGAATTAAATATTTAAAAAACAAAACAATAATGAATATAAATTCCGAGGATTACATTTCAAAAAGTGGTAATACTTTCTGGTATGTTTGTTTAGAACCTCCATTGCCTGTGGCGCCTGTTCAGGGATCCCCCGTTCCACCTCCGAGACAACGACACAATCCTTTCAATAAACCAGACAACAATCCTCACCAAAGGTCACACAGTATGAGATCTGCACCAGGTAATTAAGTACATGCGGGGGTCTCACCTTTTTATAGCTTCTTAATGGCATCCTCCATAAATTATAACTTGAATCTTTTAAAATAGGACGAATCGACGAAACAAATCGACAATCTGATAGTGCGCCTACAAAAGCTAGCATCTCCTTCTGGGAACTCCATAATTCTTATGGAAGACCTATTTTGAGTGATTATAACGCTTGGAAACATTCATTGAGACTCAAAAGAGAAAATAGTACCGCAGAGACAGGAAACCTGATAAATTTGTAGTCTTATAAATTAATTTTATGGTAAACTACCGAAAAATCTCTATCAGACAATTAAAATTAATTTGTATTTGTTTTTTTTTGTATCTTATTAATTATAGATAGGAATATTTTCCCATTTGTTTGATACTTTTTTTTATTTTGTGATATTGCGTGTGTTTGTTTAAGGCTACAACTAAAATATTTATGATTTTTTTGTATATAAGTGAATAAATGAAATGTTGTCTTATCTAGTCTTTTTTTACTATATAGAAAATCTAATTCATAATATTTTTTTGCAGCATATCATACTCAAAAGTGGTTAATCTTTAAGGGTTTTAAT